CAGAGGATTCTTCTAAAAGAGATTTTTTTGTAAGTGAATGCAAAGATGACAATGGAAGAGAAACTTGTGATCAACGAATTAGAACAAGGGAAAGAGCTAGCGAATCGATTGATGATTAATCTCAAACAAAATTCTTCAACTGATTCCAACAAAATCTTGATCTCTGAAATCCTCCGTATTTACCAAAATGCCATTTTCATGTTGAGCTTCAACAACAACGACGACAAGAAGCGAAAAAGCTCTGAAATCAACGACAAGGGTTCTAAAAAGAGGTAAACTGAGTTTTAAAAGAAAAGAATCTTTCTCTGTTTTTGAGTTTCGATTTCGGATTTCAAGTATCTGATTCTGTTTGTGATTTGCAGGAAAACAACATCGGAGAAGAAGACAGAGAAAGTTAAGGTTTATGTTGGAACAGGACAAGAAAAGAATTTACTCGATGATGGTTATTGCTGGAGAAAATATGGACAAAAAGAGATTCATGGATCCAAAAATCCAAGGTATATAAATTTCTCTTTCTGGGTATTTCAAAGTTGTAATTTTTTTCTCAAAAAAAAAAGCTCATGTCTCTGTTTTTGTTGTTGTTGAAACAGAGGATATTTCAGATGTACGCATAGATTCACACAAGATTGTTTAGCCACTAAACAAGTCCAGAAATCAGACACAGATCCTTCGATTTACGAAATAAAGTATCTCGGAGACCATACTTGTAACAACATCAATACATCTCCTACAACAACGAACTTCTCTGTTTCAATGTTCGAACAAGGAGGAAACAAAGTAGTAGTAACAGAGGACATTAAACCGACGACGACGAAAACCGAAGATGTGATTATAAGTCTTGAAGATTTAGAGAACAAGAAGGAAATTTTCAGGACGTTTTCTTTCTCTAACTATGAGATTGAGAATGTTGCGTGGAAAAACAACATTTTCTCGGAAAATCTTGTGGAGAAATTTTCTCCTGCAACATCAGGTTCTGGAATTACGAACGAGGTTGTGTCTGTTCCTGCGAATGTTGAGAATTCAGAAACTGCAGATTCGTATTTCTCGAATTTGGATAATATTATTGAATTTGGACAGGATTGGTTGTGGTCGTAGTTTTAAAAAATTGCTGAAATGTAATTTTCTTGTTGAAGTAAGTAATTATAGATTTGTGAGTGTAATTTTAAGGTTATAGATTATTTTTGCCGATGAATAAAGATTGGCTTTTTAGGATATGATTTTTTTGCCTTTCTTTTTTCATTAGGGTTTTATGAAATTCCTCCAATGAAGTTGGATGGTACTTGATGACAATTAATAAAGAAATGATTTTATAAAGGTCTATTTACTAGTTTACAACTTTACACATTGATAATTATTGAGTTTTGAGAATGCTTTGTGAACTAAAAAATATGCAATTATTGGGATGAAGATTTTGAAAGTAGAAAAAATGTTTCCTTTTTTTTTTTCCAAATAGTTAAAAGTTCAATTTCATCCCTTTAATTTTTTTGTTTTTAACGTCTGTTTTCATTGATCTTGAAGATTGTTACATCGATTATGATAACAAGTGATGTAGACATATAAAAGGAACATGATAACTACAAAACGAATCATATTGTGATTCTATATGAACTAGTTTATCAGCTATTGCGTTGAATCCTCTTTTCGATGTGAGTAATTCCAACACCTGCAAAATTCAAATTAATATATTTCGTTAAACTACTTTTATAAAACGCTGGGTCGTATGGGCCTCAAGCCCAAGCCCAAATTACAGAGACTTTAATAGTTTAGAGATTATTTCCATCAAAAGAATACTGCAGAGAGAGAGACGGAGAAGAAGACCTCACAAGAAAAGTTCCGAAGAAGAAGATGATATACCGAAAGTGGAGTTTGCTTTCCGGTCCACCTGTTATTCTCGGCGGAGCCGTCATCGCGGCCGTCGCCGTCGGAGTCGTCTTACAGAACGTATTTCTCCTCCTCAATCTCTAGATCGTTAGATCCATCTCTTGATTGGCTTTGGTTTTTTTTTTTTTTTCTCCTTCCATTTGTTTCTTCGCAAATTTTTTACATGCGTTTTGATTCTACTTTGATCGCAAATACTTGATCGAGTTAGTGATTTTGATGGATGGATTCGGGTTCAATCTAGAATTCCAGTTACAATCGATATTCATCAGCGATTTCAAGCTTTTTAAATGGATCTTCTGGTGATTGTGTTTATCTATATTTTTGGGTATCACTGATTCAAAGATCGAATTTTGAATCGAATTTGTTTTTTGCTGTCTCATTGATTAGGTTACGAAAGGAGAGACAAAGAAGAATGTTTCACCAAACAAGTGAAAAGAGGAAAACGAGAAGAAGCTACGAAAATGTGGTGTGTGAATCATGTGATTTAGTTCATGCAGTGTAAGCTTAATAATGCTTTTGGAAGCTTTCGAAATAAACTGTTCTTTTTTGATGTTTTAGATTTCTTGTTGCCAATAATGAAATGATATTTCATTTTGCACATTCGCATTCATTCTTTACATTGATTAGAAGGCCTTCTAGAGTAAGTAAGAACAAAGTTTTTTTAGCTTAGAATGTTAGGATAGTCTATAACAAGGATGCTCAGCGAATAAACTACACTATGGGAGATTTCTTTATGCAGCCCTCCTTGGAACTCTCATCCCAAATCCTCGTTTCAGCTTATCGACCCTGACCATGTAGCGTCAAAATCAGATACATGGACTTGAAAAGTAAAGGCAAAGGAGAGATGTTATTGTTACAGAGTTTATGAAAGCTTACGTTGGGGCAAGTTTGCCAAGACTATCTAGCTCTTCACCGGTGTCTTCGTCTATGACTCTACCTGAGATGTAAACTGTGTAGGACCGGTCTCTGTCCCTTGGGAGACCTCTTGCAGTGAGCAAACGCAGGTCTTTCTGGTGAAGCTCTCTTCCGTTCACAAAGACGCTTGTGGTTCCGCCTGCGCAATTCGCTGGCATTGGGTAATTAAGCTCTTCAATGAAAGGCTGTAAGAGATGATTCACATTTCACCAGCTTTAGTACATGTTTCAGAAGACAATGAAGAGAGATTGAAGACTATGATTCGTTCTAATGTTTACCGGTAATATTCCAAGGCATTGACCTCCCATTACTCCCCAGAATCCAGCTCTGTAGTCGTACCTGGTACCAAGAAACAGAGCAGAAGAGAGCTATTAGGGCTAGTAAATGAGAAAAATTTATGAGATCGAAGGGTGTCTCGTACCAGTAGTTTCCTGGCCGAATTGGTCCAGCCTGCTTCTCTGCCATTTTCACCAGACGTTCAGCTACAGGATTCCCATTTACCGATACATCACTTCTGCCTTCGTGCTGTATGGACTTCTTCAGATCCTTGAAGCTATTCTTCACGATACTCGCAAATCCACTCTTCTTAGTTCGTCCCTGCTCCTCTCTATTCTCATTTGCAGAATCTTGAGACACTTCACTGTTGTGAGAGTAGTCATTAACGTCCATCTCAATTGCAACTAAAGCTTCTCTCATAGAGTTCTGTCTCGTGGCTGTTTTGCTCAGTGTGACCCTGTCCTGTTCTAAACGAGAGCTTCGGCTCCTTGGCCCAGACCGGTCCCTTACATTGATCGAAGAGTAATCAAAGTCTTTGTGAAGATGCAAATCTGGAGTAAGTGTCCTAACTGTTGGACTGTCTGAACTAAGCTCGTCTTCAGTAATGTTAGGAGAAGTAAATTCCGGGATCTGCATCTCTTGAGCTTTGTCTGAGTTGAAAGGCGGACCAGTTTCTACATCACTTAGTCCAGTATCCATAGAATGGAAGTTGTAAGCAGCATTATCATTCTCATCAGAAGAGAAGTTAGTTGCAGTTATCCAGTGCAGCTTAGTTTGAGTTTCTGTTTTTCTTGCTGAAGCAGGATCGGTAGAGAGGACGAGTTTCTTATCAACAAAGGAAAAATCTATCAAACAAGAGCAATTACCGCAGCGCAGTCTCTTTTGCTTTCTCGTAGCGGAATCTATCTTGTCTGGCAATTTCAGAAGTTTGACGCAGTTTTTACAGGTTATAAATGGTGCACCACCAGCGAACGGGTGGATTATGCGAGAACCACCTGAAGATGATACAGTTATAGGGGGATGAATACGAGAAATAGCATTCATATGTGCATCCCCAAATTCACCTCGGCATCTTCCATAGAGCTGTGGACCACGAGATTTAGAACCAGGAGGAGGAATAAAGGTTCTAGGGCTATGCAATGAAGAACCAAACCCAATACCTCTCTCATGAGAGGAAAAACCGGTGTGATGCAGAACATCAGGCAACCCTGAGGGAGGAAACACTGAACCAGAAGCTCTATGATATGGATCATAGCAGTGGAAACAAGAGCAAGTTGATTGGTGAAACATCTCATTTCGCGGGTGTGCATCGAACAAATCATGACCGTTATTACCAACATACTGTCTAGAGTAGTGCGGATGAGATGGCTGCATTGTTCTTTCGTGCATCCGGGCCCTGGGAGCGTCTCCATAAGCTGGAACATCAGGGTTATGCATCAGACCACGCAGAGGAACTTCAAGGTTATTGTTATAAGGACATGGAGGTTCAGGTTCTGGATATTGATGGTAATAGGATGGACCTGCAACGTGTTTCCCAGAACTTGGAAACCGCAATGGAACCTTTTCGAACCCTGAAGACGAACTCGGTATCTGCTCTTTAGGTTTAAGAAGCTGTTCTTTAAGCTTATCCAATTTTCTCACCAGTGCAGCTCTATCTTGTTCGATTGCTTCATCACTAGACAGAGCATCTGAAAAGTAGTTAGAAGTTGAGAATCGGAAACCCTCGGAATCGCATTTCTTCATTGTTCTTTTCCTAAACCGATCCAAACCCGATCGAGAATCGTTCTTATTACCCAAATCGACAGCATCCGGTCTCGAACAAGGATCACTCTGAACATCCCAATTCTCTGTTCGACCTTTTTGTTGGTGTTTTAATGAAGTATCCGATTCAGATTCTTCTTCTTCACTTGAACCAGAGTTAACTTCAGTTTCTTTGGCTCTATGTTCCACGGACTTAACCGACGACACTGAATCTGCATCACGGTCCTTGTTTTTGGCTTTACAT